ACAAGCTACTCGACTATCATTGATTAATCAAACTTGAATTTTGTAACTAATATTATACTTGTCTTGTTATATTTTCCCTTATATTAAATATTAATTATTCAAATGTATATTGCCGATTGGCGTTGGTTTAAATAAATAAATAAATAAATAAAACATTGGAGTCTTATTTAAGAAATAGCAATTTAGTGGTAAAAGTGGGAGATTTCATATCTGATGAACGACAGATAAGGGCTGGAGTACCCCAGGGCAGTGTTTTAGGCCCAACACGATACATCATATTTACAGCAGATCTTCCAACAGCTAATAACTCATTAACTTCAACCTTTGCGAATGATACAGCTATAGTGAGCCGTAACAAATGCCACATTTTAGCATAAAGATTATTAACGAAGCATTTAAGTTCTGTCGAAGAATGGCTAGCGAACTCACGTGTGAATGTGAATGAACAGAAGTGTAAGCATATTACCTAGATAGAAGGCTCACGTGGAGAAAACACATCGCTAGTAAAATAACATGTATTAATATTAGAGCTGCAAATCTAAATTGGCTTTTAAATAAAAACTCCTAGCCTAGGCAACAAAGTGCTTTTATGGCATTCAACTGTGGGGTACGACATGTGCAACTAATATTGATATATAGCAAAGGTTCCAATCAAAAATGCTAAGAACAATCACGTGTTCACCATGGTACATGCAAAAATATCACGGTTAGTTGCTAAGGGGAGCTCCCATCGTCGGGCATTTATTATTCGCCAGTTACTCCACAATAAGAATGGTTATAGTTTTTGCAGTTGAGCATGGAATGTACATGCACCAAATGGACGTATCCTCTGTATTTCAATGGTGACTTACATGAGGAGGTATAGATGCGGCAGCCTAAACTGCATCCGAAATAAGTCCTGAGGCTTTCTGTGCCTTGACAGATTATACGCAAATGAAACGAAAAACTGAACGGTGCTCTATTGAAAAATGGTGCGCAGTGAACCATGTTTATATATACCCATAGTTGAAGGAAATTTGAGCATTATTGTTGTATACGTTGATAATCTCATGATAGCAAATTCTGACAAGCATGACCTGAACAAGATCAAGATGCTCATCTTCGAAGAGTTCGATGGAAATCGAGAGAAACGGATAGACCGCAAGCGTTAAAATCGGTAGTAAGCAACATATTGAGGCACTTCTTAATGACTATACTATACAAAACTGTAAACCAAATAGTATATCATTGGAAGCTGGCCATGAAGTTAATTGTGCGAACCAAATCACTTATCGGTCTCTATTATATCTGGCTTTAACTACTACACCAGACATACTGCATTCTACAGAAAAGCTTGCAGATCCCTAAAAGGAGCACGAAGCAGCTTCTGAGCGCATCTTCCGCTACTTGAGACGTACATCAGAGTTGCAGCTCCATTATAAGAAGAATGGAGAGAACATTCACTGTTATATGGATGCGGATTGAGCTGGCGCTTGTAAATAATTTACTGGTTGGGCCTTCCTCGCAGCTGGTGCTGTATTCTAAGAACCACAGCGTTGTTGTAGCCCTAAGCAGCACAGAAGCCGAAGCAGGCCATTCACCAATGGAATTGGCTGATTTTAAAGCCACTGAACTGAACAGACCTTCACTTATGGCGGAGTGCATTGCAAAAAAAAAAAAAAAAAGTTTCACTCTATTCAATTGAAAAACTATTCAGAAATATAGTCCCTAAGTTTCATTGGCTTACTCCGAATATTTTCGAAAAAATGGGCCTTTAAACCATTGCACTTTATCCTGCGGTCTATGCAATAGAACTTTTAGACTCATATCCTCGAAACTAACTTTTTCATACGGCCGCCAAATTGCGAGCGAATTATTTAACCGATATAATTGAGACCATCGGCCTCTCCAGACTGGACAAGGAAGCAACACAAATGGGTCTGGCAGTGAACGAGGGCAAGACAAAATATCTCCTGTCATCAAACAGTCGTCGCACTCGCGACTTGGCACTCACGTCACTGTTTGACAGTCATAGCTTTGAAGTTGTAGATAATT